CCAATGCATGCTCTCTGTGGATATCGGTGTGTGAATACAACTTCTATACATTTAATACATCTTCTATAAGGTAGAAAACAGGCAAAAGCACCATTAAAGTGCAATGACTTTTGTTCCTTATATTGACCTAAACTTGATTTGAACCAGTGATTTAGAAATAATATGCTCTGTATCCCATTTCTAATCTCTTCAGCCACAAGTCCAACCCTTCAGGGATTTTTTTCACAAAGAGGATGCTAACATATTTAAAAGAACTCACATTTTTTCTCTGAAAAATAAAATTTGAGCATATGCAAAAACACGTTGGGTATTTGGCTAACCTACCCCTCATTACCCAGGAGGGAGAGAATGTAAACACAGGCTTGCATTATATTGTTCAGTGTGTGTATTCAATCTTTAGAAATATGTTTCAAAGAAAGGAAAGGCATAAACCTCATTAGAAGAGAAACAACAGGGTGGAAAAAAAAAGCAGCCCATGTCAGTTCAAACGCAAGCCCAGATGCTTAAGTTAGTTACACTTTTCAGTTTAAGGCAATGCAAATCCGTTTTCCATTACTGGGGAAGTGGAAAAAGGCATTAAGCCCTTGAAATGGCAAGAGTCAAGTTCTGTGCTCAGTCAAATAGGAAAAGGTTTAATGTATGATTTTCTTCTTTTTAGTCCATTGTACATTGTATCAAGGCACTGAAGAACAACTATGCAATTATGTAAATAGGGGGATAGATGCTAGAGTAGCACAATAGTTTGTAAGTTAAAATTATTTCTTATTCCTCCTACCCCTTTTCCCTCTTTACACAGAAACAAGCATGCACAAAACATTAATGAAATAAATCAGACATTATGTGAAGCTTATCCACAGGAGCAGATTCTAGATATGAATTGAATCTCTGAACATTAATTTGATCTTCTGCCAAGCTCTAGAGAGGTCTTAAGAATCTGAGTTCATATTGTGAAGGAGAGGTGAAATAAAAAGAGTCCTAATTTTAAATTGTTTTCATTATATAAACATTTGTGGGCCTACTTATGTTCCTTGCTTTTTGAAGAATTGTGATTAAGCTTTAAAATGTATGTTTTTATTTAAAATATAACCAGGGATATTCCATGCTTACATTATAACTTGTTAGCCAGAGGCAGCAGGCAATTGCTACTACTTTCAGTTAATACAATCAGGATTGGGAATACAAGACAGAGGCTTTTCAGTTTTCCTGCTAAAACAAAGACTCAGTCATTCCCTCATTATGGATCAGACTGGTTATTTCAGCGTGTTTGCATCAGAGGTGAATTTTTCCCATTGCAACACTCTAATTGACATAGGGGCGTTTTAGTTTCATTTCAGTTTTCTCTGAAGGTAACCAGCAGAGAAACAGAATATGAAACAACACATTTTGTGTAAATTTTGTAAATTCATGGCACCACTGTGCCTAAAGTATCCCCCAATGAAAGTCAAGAAGGAGTGTGTTCCTTAGGTCGTAACTTCACCTAATCCTTAAAGTAGCCTGAGGTCTATGACAAGTATAGATATAGATGACCTGGGAGATCAGAAAGTTTGCTTTTGCTGCCTCTTGACCATCCATTTGCTCCACTTAACTCCATATCTCTTATTCTAATGTAAATGCTTTGATACTGTGACTAACCATAATCCGCTTAACGTAGGATCATAAACTATGGTGTGATCCCATGGGAAGTCTGTCATGGCACCACAGCAATCAAGAAATTCTACTTGAGTTCTGGGTTTGAAAATACTTTGTGCCATTGCTCCCTTGTAGGTATTAGTTCGTCTTACTGTCTTCTTGGATACCTGATATGTATACCTACCGTATATTCAATATGTATTCTTCTTAAGGAAATTTGAAATGTCACACAGCTTTTCTGGATTTTCCTCACGGTTTTTCATAGCTTGCATGCATTTTAAGTAAATTTTCTCTCTTTTTTCATAGCTTGCGTTCATTTTAATTTAATTGTCTCTCTTTTAAAGTGACACTTTATGTTGACTTTTTTAACCACTGAAAGAACTTTCTGCAATTCTTTGCAAGCCTCTTTGATTCTTGAATGCAATTCTGAAAGAAAGTAAGCACTTTTCACTTAAATATGTCAAAGTTTTACCCAGCTGTTAGCCAGTAAGTCATAAAAAAGATTCCTGTGAGGTAGGCAGTGCATGTTATCTTTTATACATGCAGACATAGCACTGTTGTACCACCTGAAATTCCATCAGACTCCAAGCTCTGCAGAAAGTGACAAATGTTAGACAGGTATATGATTTATAATGGATGAGCTACGCAAGCAAGCTCTGGGAGTTGGATTGGATTTGATGGCAAACAACAATATAACACAACCCCTGCTGTGGATACCCACACCATGAGAGGCAATGCAATCCAGCAGCATGAACAACGGACTGCAGGCATGATACAGAGCCCTAAAACCACCTCTGCAGTACACCTACTTTGAGAAGAATGCCTTTCCCAATCTAACAGTCCTTCTTCCAATTCCTTATCCATTTGTTTAGCAACACTATGTTAAACAGTCATACCTCACTAAGGCACTTCAATGCAATTTAAATCTCAGCATGATGATAGGTTTCAAAGAGGCTTTTTAAAGGAATTATATGGAAACTCAAGAAGTTATTTGAATAATTTTGTGCAGTCGCTGGCAATGAACCTGGAAACTTTTTCATGAAGTAACTTTCCTCCATCAACAAGGTTTTCCTTCAGGGAGTACCTTCCATCCCAGCAAGAATGACTTCATTTCCAGCACAAAAGTTTCTATAGTAGAGTTATCAATATTCCTGCATTCACCAACATTCAAGTATTGAGCAGTACTGAAGGCAAAGCTTTTCTACTCCTAGATAAGAAGGTTTTGTCTCATCCTGTCCAATTGTGGTCATAAAATATAAAATGATCCCTCGTTCCTCTTCATGAGCCATGTGGATTAGAAGTCATTCTTCTGTGGAATGTCATTTAATTCATTTCTCTATTGGAGTCTGTGGATGCAATAAGGGACTGTTATATTTGAGGTCTTGTTTCTGGTTATCAGTAGGTCATCCAGTCTGCTAAGCTATCACAGGTGAAGAAATGGCCTGCACAAAATAAAGAGCTGGTCTAGATTTCATTTTTCCTCATGGGAATGGGAAGGATCTTTCTGCCTCTGTGTACATACCTACAGACAAAACTGGTGAATAGTTTACCTTGACATCTGAGATGTTTCATGCTATGGTTAGTATTCGTCTATGCAGTTGCTTTCTTGTATTCAAACCGTCCTATGCCTTAGATTATATTTCCACTTACTACCCTCTTGGCTTTGGAGCATTAGGTACAAGTTCTCATCAAGAAATTGATGGGAGTGGACCCTTACTTCTCCAGGGTGATTTCTTTTGCATGAGATACTATGCATGTTTTTAATCTGATGGTCACTCTCTTTTATGTTGAAACACAAAACTTCTGATGGAACTTTCCTGATGGAAATATATTGGTGTTACAGGTCCTCCTTCTCTGCATTATTCAGGTTCCTTGTTGAAGTCACATACACATGACCATAATTTTTGTAAAGGCATATTTGTAGTTTGATTCCCACATCTATTGAAAGAAAATTTAGAGCAGCTATGAGTATAAGAATGGATAACCAACAGCACTTCCTATCAAGCCTCACACTTTTTCTTCACACAGCCTTTTCTGGTTTACCCATTCTGCCTCATCTTTCTCCACTTTCTTTTTTCTTTTGCTTATTCCAGTTTATGGCTCATTGATAAGTCGTACCAAGACCTCAGGTTCAACCCCAGGGCACAGACATCTAGAAAGCTGAAATAGGGATGTTGGCATGAAAAGAAAGTGGAGATGACTTGTCTTTATCTGCCAGTCCACAAATAACTTGGTGAACGGAGTTTCTGGCCATGAAATCTGAATGCCATTTTAGAAATAAAAAATTTGATTCATTCCCAGTTTACTTTGGCTTCTGTGGTTGGAAATCAGAATACAGGGTGGTGTTGGCAAAGCAGTATACAGAGTGAAAAATAGTGTAATGACCTTGCAAGCTGCTCCTCTTGGGATCTTGTAGCTAACTAACACAATCCCTGAGATGTTGATTAAAGTGGGTAAGGCCGGAGACACAGGTGACTTTTTCAGGGCATAACCCCAGAAAGCATCAGGCTCTTGTGATGCTCTAGCTGCTGCTTGAAGCTGTTCTTCCTTAGTGACATCCTTATGACACACTTTCTGCTTTTCTGAATTTAATGAATGCCCGAGTAAATTTGAAAGTCTCCCTGGGAAATAAGGCTTGCTCCTCTGTGCCAGCAGGTTAATGTGAGCCACTCATTTCCAAGCCTCATATTTGGAGCACATGCTAGCAAAACACAGCAGGTCTTTACTACCAGGAGTAAGTGAGCATTGCAAGTCACAAGAAGGAATGCATAGCTTTTAGATGTGAATTATAAGGAGCAGTTCTTATTTCAGAGATACACATATTTTATTGGGCATTTTTGCTACCTAGGCATTTCAACCAAAATTTCACAGCTCAATGTTTTATTTCCTGATACCTGTTGTATAATGACATGACGAAGCTCCTTTCAGAGCATCTTTTATTTTACAATTCTGGCTTTCTCCTCCTTTATATAACAGCACCAGTTCATATTATGAGTTTTTACTATACTGTGTACAGTGACAAGCTGTTGTAGGCACGTAATATTCCCATTGGTTTCGCTGGTAAGCTTGTCTGAGCAAAGACTGCTGGTCAGCTCTGACCCCCATCCTGTGGGGCAGACCTATAACCCTTTCAAAGTTTAGTTTCATTGCCCCTAGTGAAGTCAAGCTCTTACCACAGAATTATACTGACAGAACCACAGGCTATTTTTTATGGGAACAATTTCCTGCCACATCCTGAAGTTTGAGGCCACCTGTTCTCAGTGAGCAGTGTGAACCCCAGTGTAACAGAACAAGAATTTAATCCAAATGTCTTTAACACGATAGGTATTACTGAAACTTGCATAACTCCCTGACCTCTCTTCAATTCACAGCTACCTCATCCCTGAACTCCCAGCTTCAACAGCTTCAGCATCTTCAGCAGCTCCAGCACCAACAGCAGCAGCAGCAAAGCCAGCAGCAGCAGCAAAGTCAGCAGGCACAGACTCCACAGCCACCCCAGCAGACCCAGCAGCCACAGCCACAGCCATCAGCACCACCACAGCAGAACCAAACACAGTCCCAGAGCCAGAGCCAACCTCCTCCAGCCCCACAGTCCTCCAGCTCCCCTCAGAAACCCAGCCAGTCACCAGGGCATGGCCTTCCATCTCCTCTTACTTCACCAAATCCACTGCAGGTAGGATGTTACATAAAAATCTCTAATGGTCTAACAACAGCAAGTGCATTCTCTTTCACTGTACTGAGAAATCAAGTGAAGGTTATGCCTTTTGACCACAGAGGCTGAGAAATTCCACCTTGTATTACTTAATCCTTTCAGGCATTCAGGTTAGAACAGCTAAAAGGCCTGATAAGCCAAAAAAGCATACCTAATGATGGTTCTCTGTTGTTGCTTTCTGAGAAGTAAATGTTTTTTGCTCTTAGACTCCATATTGCAAAACCCATAGAAAACTCTCTAATTTTTTCCACAGATTCATCATGTGACATTCGCAAATGGCATTTTCCTGGTAGTTACCCTTTATGATAACTTAAGGGACAGCAATGTTAGCTGTTCATTACCTGTCCTGACTGTCCCTTAAAGAAATAGAGCTTTTGCTGGTGGACATGTGAAAGGGATGGGTGGGTTATCCCTCCTCTCAAAATCACAGTCCTAATTTTTATCCTGCTAAGAACCAAATACTTCTGCTAAAATTCTCAGTATAGACTCCAAAGCTAACGATGCCAGTTAGTCCCTTTTGTAGATGCTCACTCCAGTGATATGGATATTTTTTAATAGACCAACAGCCATGGCACCCATACTGATGGTTGGCTCTGCCCATCTTGAAACTCCTGGGTAGAAACAGAAGAGCTCTGATCCAGGGGTCCTATGTTCTTAGAGTTCGCTGTTCTTGCATTACATGGGTCATCCTATATTCATATTGTGCAAGAATAGTTTGACTGTACCTATAAGTATGATTCTGAACAGCAGGGTAGATTGTTAAGTAAATGGTGTCTCATTCACTAGGCAGTGGAATTGCACTTAGAAACCAGCAAAGCCTCTATTAATTTTATTCTCTAAATTTTGAGACACCACTTTAAATGTTTTATTCGCACTGATGGATTTGGCTCCATTTCCTGCAGAAATAAAACTGCATTAGCTTAATAATTAAACAATCCTTTTTTAGACAATTAAGGGAATTGGTTTACAAGAAACTGTGTTTGCCATGTGGCCAGTGAAACCTGCATTAATCTGAGCTTCCACTAAATAGCTCAGATTTTTTTTAATGGTTTAGATAATAGACATAAAAATCTGCAAGAAATGTGTCCTTGCTTGCTGAGCTTTTTCTTATAGTAGAGCATAATGTTTCTAAAGCTTCTTTTGTGTATTGTCTAAAGGGCTACTTATGCATCACTTAATGCCCAGTCTATCACACTAGTGAGTACTTTGGGACTCCTTTGTATGCAGATTATTGACATACAGAGACACAGATATTTTCAGAGGAGCTTCTGTTACATTTTATTGTCTTGGTACAGCTGTAATGTATGCACACTAACTGTATACACTATATGCCTGCTAAATATTGTGCATTAAGGTTTATGAACAAAGCAAATGCACAAATAAATTATACTTGGGGTAGGGAGGAAGTGTGATTATCTAGACAACATACCTCAAGAGGGTTGTACTAACACTGAATCTGAAGTCTTAGCTCTCATATAGCTTCTGGTCTCATTGTAAATCTCAACGGAATCTGAGTATTTCCACTTCTCATCTGTGATGTACAGGTCAGTAAAAGCACTTTCCACTGTTAGGTTCCCAGGGTCACCTCTCACTTACAGATGTACAAAGAATATAAGTAAAACCTTGCATGGTAGGTACCAATGACAATGTTTCCACATAGTTACCTTGGCATATCTCTCTCTTTAGTTCACAGCTACCCTTCTGAGGGAAGTCTGGATGTGGCAGACAGCAGAAATGAAAGGAGAGAACCAAGTGCTCTGAGGCAGTTTTAGTTCAAATGCTATCCCCTAAACTTTGTAGGAATTGGGATTAGATTTAATGAAAGACACCAGTGTGAGAGGTCTGGCATTCCCCCTGGGCTGTGCTTAGCCAGTACTGATAAGGCAGCTGCATGACTGGGACACTTTCAGAACAGCAGTAAAGGAATGAGAATTCATTTGCTGTCAGTTCTTTCTAAGCATTAAAGAGTTACTAATAAATTGTGGAATAAGTATTTTTAATGTTCTTTCCTCTTTGATCCTTGTCATGTAAATAGCTATGAAAACCCAAAGTTGGTTCACAAATATGCTGTGTACTGACATCCAGAAAAGAAGCTAGAATTCACAGAATCACAGAATCCACTAGGCTGGAAAAGAACTCTGAAATTATCGAGTTCAACCTTCGACCCAACACCACCCTGTCAATTAGACCATACCACTAAGTACCCTATCCAGTCTCTTCTTAAATATCTCCAGGGACAGTGACTCCACCACCTCCCTGGGCAGCCCATCCCAATGCCCAATTGCCATTTCTGTGAAGAATTTCTTCCTGATGTCTAAGCTGAATCTCCCCTGGCACAGCTTAAGACCGTGCCCTCTTGTCCTACTGCTGGTTGCCTGGCAGAAGAGACCGATGCCCACCTGGCTACAACCTCCTTTCAGGTGGTTGTAGAGAGTGATGAGGTCTCCCCTGAGCCTCCTCTTCTCCAGACTCAACGACCCCAGCTCCCTCAGCCTCTCCCCACAGGACTTGTGTTCGACGCCCTTCACCAGCCTTGTTGCATTTCTCTGGACCTGCTCCAGCACCTCAATATCCTTCCCGAATTGAGGGGCCCAGAACTGGACACAGCACTCGAGGTCTGGCCTCACCAGCACTGAGTACAGGGGAAGAATCACTTCCCTGGTTCTGCTGGCCACACTGTTCCTGATCCAGGCCAGGATGCCATTGGCCTTCTTGGCCACCTGGGCACACTGCTGGCTCATGTTCAGCTTCCTGTCAATCCAAACTCCCAGGTCCCTTTCTGCCTGGTTGCTCTCCAGCCACTTTGTCCCCAACCTGTAGCACTGTATGGGGTTGTTGTGGCCAAAGTGCAGGACAGTACTTCATTCAGCACAGAACCTCTGTCCTCATCTTAAGCAATGTGAATGGGGTCATTACTTTGGCCTTCTAGCCATTTCTAAAGCATTTCTGCAGCAAGTGTAATACTTCTCAAGCTTCCCTAAGAAATAATTAAGAACTTGAAGAATGCTCTGTCATATTGCCAAGAACGCTGAGACACTTTAATATGCAAACAAGCGACACTCAGAAATAGTTCCAGAGGAACTGCTGTTGCACTTTATATATGGTTGTTTAAGTACTTTGCTAAATCAGAGCAGTGGTAAGATCTCCTCCATGAAATTGTCTTTCCATTCTAAATCCTGCAGAGAAAGGCTGTTTTACCCCTGTAAATCTGTCTTGAGGATTGAATCTGAAATAATTTTCTTCTGCACAAACATTTAAAGAAAAAAAAAGGAAGGAACACACGTTTGGCAGCAGTTCCTCATAATAGCTGCTTAGAATGTGGGGGGGTTTTAATGTTTAATGCTCTAACTTAAAAATCAATCTAGAACAAAATTCAGAGATATTATGGCCTCTAAGGTAATGTTCTTTATGAAATAGAGTGAAATGGGTTTTGTTTGAAGAATATTAAGGGAATAAAGATCAACCAAGTTTGACAGCTAAAATTTCATTTCTGAATTCTTGACTTTTTCATAGAGGCTTTATCCTCTTACATTATTCAGAATCTGTCTGAAAGATATTAGTTTAAAAAAATGCAGCCTCAAAAAATTGTCATGGAAAGTTAGTAATTCAGGAGGATGATTGTGTTTGTTTAAAAAAACTCTGAAGGATAACAGCAATTACATCTCAAGGTGTACAGATGCTGTCATGTCTCTCAGAAGGCAAATTAAACGAAAGTGACTGGCTTAGGTGTACTTGGGTGAGGTACTTTGGTATCTGATCAGAAATTAATAATCCAGTGCAGCGTACACCAGCTAAAAGTTTCAGACTTATTCTTGTCAGATTATTCTATAATACTCAGCTCTTCCAAAAGCACTATATGCCTTTACCAACCTGTTGTCTATCTCTCCACCAATCTTACCATCCGAGGAGATGAGGCTGCCTAGGTAATTAAACTGCTGGACTGATTTGAGTTCTGATTGGCCAATGGTGATGTGGGGATGATGGGGGACTTCCTGCAAAGTACCAAGATCAGTGTTTACAGAGCCATAGTGTTGTCTACTCTCTTGTATGGTTCCGAGTCATGGGTCATGACCTGCGTCTCCTAGAACGCTTCCATCAACACTGCCTCCGTTCACTCTTAAACATCCACTGGTCAGATTATGTGACCAATACATCTGTTCTAGAACAAGCAGCAGTCACAAGTATAGAGACCATGTTGTTGAGAACACAGCTGCGATGGGCAGGGCACGTCTCAAGGATGAAGGACCACCGCCTCCCTAAGATCTTGCTCTATGGTGAACTTGCCACTGGCTGCCGCAAGAGAGGAGCCCCGAAGAAAAGATACAAGGACTCCCTGAAACAACATCTCAGCCTTGGCCATATTGATCACCATAACTGGTCTACTCTGGCCTCAAATCGGGAGGCCTGGAGACACACCATCTATAATGCTGCTGTCTCCTTTGAGAACACACGCAGGATCACTCTCAAGGAAAAAAGGCAACGCAGAAAGAACTGTGTTTTGCAGAATATACCACCTAAGGAGTCTTTCTGCTGTGCCTTTTGCAATCGGATATGTCTGTCACGTATTGGCCTCATAAGTCACCAACGTGCCTGTAACAAATGTGGATAGAGCCTTTCCAAATCTTCGTTCGCGAAGCCCAGCCATGACTCTGCTTTAATTTTATCACTATTCTTTACATGGTTCAATGGGCTGGATTGTAGTTACAAAACTCTTTTTTTTAGGGAGTCTTTTAGTAATTGTGTAGAAAGATGTAAAACCACACTTCAGGTTCCAGGACCTGAATTCTTTGTTGTCATCAGTGATTATGCTCCAGATTTACAGTGGTTACCACTGCAGAACAAGAGGCATCACTTATTTCCAGAAGACAACCAGAGAAGGATTTTCCAAAGCTGAGCTCTATTTCAGGAAGTGGTAGGTCAGGCAAATGATGGAAGACTTTCATCTCTTCATTTTAAAATGA